CTCTCCCTCCCACCTCCCCCAGGGTCCTTCCAATTTGCTTTCCTCTCCCCACCAAACATACTGGTTACTACAGGCTTGCCTGTCCATTTATAAAAAAAAGCATTTTTATGGAAATTTATTAACTTTCAGAAAGACCCAGAAGGGCAACTGAGAGGGCACAGGAGTGTTGTCGTAATAATAAAAGTCCACAGACAGCCTGGGATCAGAGGGAGGCCCCAGGCTTGTCTTGCTGGGTGATTGGCCCCAGGCTGCCATTGCTCAGACTCCCTGCCTGGTGGGCCACTGCACCTGAACTCCAGGTGGTACCTGCCATGAGCTGCCAGGTCCTGATGAAGGGCAAAGATCATGGCTAACAGCTCCCAGGCACGGAGGCCTGCCAGGTTATCTGGACTTGAGGTCCACTTTTTGGCAGTTGTGTCTGGACTTGGACCCCATGTAGCCTCATTGTGCACCCTGTCTACCTGGCAGGTTTCACCAGAGGCAGTAATACCCAAAGGCGTCTCCTTGGGGATGTTAGCCCATAGAGACAACTGCCACCATGACTCAAGTTACTGAAGGTGGCCTTGGTCTGGGTAGGTGCTGCAGACAGACAGAATGTCTAAGTGGAGAAGCCACTCTATATCAGGGAAAAGGGTGTGTCTTTCCCTGTCTATTTTTCTCATTTAAAGGAGTTCCCAACAACCTTTTTTGTTGTTGATGTTTATGAGGGTTTTTTTTGTTGTTGTTCTGTTTCTTTGTTTGTTTGTTTTTGGTTTTTTTTGTTTATTTTTGAGACAGGGTTTCTCTGTGTAACAGTCCAGGTTGTACTGAAACTCACGCCATAGGCCAGGCTGACCTAAGATCCACCTGCCTCTCTTCCCCGAGTACCAATATTAAAGGCAAGCACCCACGGCAGCCACCATTGGGTTTCACCAAAGTTTTTGACTAGGAAAATACCTGATGGGTCCTTCCTAGTGAGAAGAAGAGCAGGGCAGAGAAAAAGAGATGAGAAAGCTCATAGTCTACCTGCCTCTATGAACATCCCCAGTGAGTGGGGATGGGACCATCCTTTGACCATTTTAGGACTCAGGGACTTGAACTATCACCAGCCAGTGAATGAACGCTCTGATTTCTTCTTGTCTCCTAAACTAGACTACATATGGACTGCTAGAGCTCCGAGATTCCTGCACACAGTCTAAGTTCATCTTCCTACCTGTCCTATGAAAATGATTAGGCCCTTATCTGATGTCTTGGAAACCTCAGCCTCGAATAGATTGCTCCAGCATTAGATAAGCCAAGGGCGCTGGACTTAGTACTCTTTCCCTTGCACCAAACTCAGATTTAGATCTGAAACATAGACCCTGAAGATTGGCCTTGCCGGCAGGACCCAGGCTCTTCCTGGGCCTGGAACAAGCCCAACTAGGCTAGGAACAGTGGCGAGTTCTTAGGAAGGGAGGGGCTGAAGGTAGAAGGGAAGATTTTGAAAAAAGGATAGAGAAACCCCAAAACAAATATCGAGGTGGCTGTGGGGATACCCAAAATGAAAACTCCAGAAAAGAGTTATCCTTAAGAACGGGCGCCAAACAAAAGGCGGGGACCCTTTCCAATGAGCGAAGCTGTGGTGAAGGTACATTAAGCCATAGCGCCTTGAGGTTGGGGAAATTCTAAGTGGCATAAATAGTGACCCGGATTTCAGGAGGGTTCTACTGTGCTTGGGGGGTTCAGTTTGAGTATTTGCGGCTTCTGGGGAAGGGGCAGGTTTTTTTTGTGTATGGGGGGATGCCTTTGAAGGACACATTTCCAAATTTGCTCTACCCAGAATCTGAGAAGAGGAGACGCCAGCGCCCTGGCTTTGGCTCAACAACTGCGCTATGCGGGTTCTCGGCTTTCAGTGCCCCCATGGCGGCAGACCTAGGTGATCCATTGGAAGAACCAGCAACTACCGTCTGTCCCTCTGGAAGCGTTTCTGTCGGTTCCAACTTCGGAACACCGTTTCCCTTCTGCTTGTACCAGGGACCAGCAGCGGGCCCACAAAGCTCCCGATTACATGGAACCCTGCTCCGTGCGTCAGAGGCTAACGGACAAAGAGAGGCCTCCGAGGGCACAAAGGGGAAAGTGGCGTCCATACAGCAGACTTAGTAACTCTGAAGCTGATTGCAATCGAAAGCAGTTGCCCAAATGCCGGTGCCTGGCTGCGCATCCAGCGTTGCTGGCTTTTTGCTTTGTTTTGTTTTGTTTCCCCCATTTCGGAGACGAAGCCCGCCCGGAAGATGACTTTCTCGGCCCTTCTACCGTCCCGCACTGCTCGCTGCTCTCTGTGAAGCCGGTACCGCAGGAAATAACGAAAGTATTGAGTGCGAGGTCTCTGCCCGTGCCCGGTAGACCAGCTCCAGAGAGAGACTTACACTCCCTCCCCCAGCAAAATCAGGCCAGGTCAGCCCTGCACCCTGGCAGGATCGAGGCTCACATTTTGAATGCTGAGTGGGAAGTAAGGATGGCGGCAGAGATACCTCCACGCGGAAGTCTAGCAGCTCTAGGCTCCTGATGCTGTCGGTATCCGTCTTTAGACAAAGGCTAAAATCAAAGGATGGTGGGAAGGACAAGGGCAGCAGACACCAAGCTAGAGGTCTCATGTCTGTGCTCACCTGAGAGTGGACAGGCCTGCGGACTGCGACCCGACTTAGACCAGGGCCAGGAAGACCTCCAGATAACCCCAGAAAGGATGAGGTTAAACTGCATAGTGACAGCCCCGGAAAGGGGGCTTGGGGGCACTATGCCATAATCTCCTAGACCCTTAGTCTTCAAGTCTCAGATTTTAGGAGCACCCTGTAGGGCTAGTAGAGCCCGGTTTGTGAGTTGGTGCCGGCACAGGCCTGGCTCCTGAGCCTGACACAATGCTGCCCTTTCAGCCCACTAGACTATGTACACCAGAATCACTGGGGAAGCAGCATGACTTAACCAAGGTTCCTTGGGTATCATGGAAGAAGGGGGCGAAGCACCCACTGGAGACACAGGAAGACAGCCTGGGAGAGCCAGAAGAAAGATGCACTAGGCGGACAGATTTCCACGCCCAAGAGGAGGGAGGTTCAAAAACCACTTTCTGCAAGCTCTCCTGAAAACTGATTTCTGGAGACTCCCCAAATTGCCTCGCTGGTGCTGATATACACTTCCAGTTACCACCCAGGCTTCCCTGGTTTTATTTTCTCCACCGGGACTCTTGCTTTCTCCTTGGCAAACCCCCGATTTCCTTGAATTGCCTGCAGCTGCCCCCTTTCTTGCTGGCTCTGCTGCACTGCTGGTCTTCATACTGACCCAACTGTGGAAAATGGGGAGGGCCAAGCAGGGCCCCACTGTTCTGAAAGGGAACACTGAAGTCAAACAGACTTATGCCTTGGTCACAGAATTGGGCTCTGGTTGGATCTTCCACACCTGTCTCTTAGGGGTACAAACCATTTCCTGAGGTGTTAGGAAAGATAGCCCAAGGATAGGAAAAATGTCTCCCAAATGGCATCCAGGAAGAAAGTGTCACCAAGTCTAGAAACTGTACACTTGAGTTTGATTTGCAAGGTGGCCCTCTAGGCCCAGCCAATCAAGTACTCCCAAATTAGAAGGAATGGTCTGAGGTTATGAATTTTGAGGGGGAAAAAAAACCAAACACACTCCACAAGGTCAGCATTGGCACAGGGTACCCACTATTTTCCTCTTGCTTTTAGAAGGGGGGGGGCGCAAGAAGTTCAAGAGAGAATCCTAGGACGACTCCCTCACAGAGCCTTATGTGGCCCCTATGGGTGCCACAGAAAGGTGGCCTTCTGAATTCTTTTGGAAATACTATCTGATGAGCTAAACTATAAGTACAGGGTTAGGCTAAGCCATCTGGGTGGGTCCAGCTGAACCACACCTGTTTGGATGCTGACCCCGTTGAGAGAAGACGATATCCACACGTTATCCCCTTTCCCTTGTACTCACCTTACAAGGACTTGGTTAACTTAAGGGAGAAGGATTTTTTAACGAATAAATGGAAATAATAGTAGTAGTTAATTTTTGCACTATCAAATAAAAGATATGACCAAAGTGTGCACTCAATTCAGAATCTTTTACATTCGTTAAACTATTGCCTAATTCTTCTGAGATCAGCAGAGTTGGTCATTTCTTTAGTGTAATTTCCATTGACCAGTATACATCCTTAGATGTGCAGTAGGGGGAGGGTGGGGTGTGGGGGGGAGCCCCTGCGTCAAGACAATTCCAGTGTTAACTTCAGAAGCAAACGCTATCAAAGTGTGGAGACCTTTTTCAGGCACAAAGCTCCATCATGACCTTCATGGACTCACTCAAATGGGCTCTAGAGTCACACCTCTAGTTTGCCAAGGTCCAGCCTACCCTGGCCAGATGTCCCATTTCACTGCCAACAGGCATGTGGCACCACTGTGTGCCTCTCAGTAAACCCACCTCTTCTTTTACTCCCATCCCAGCACCCCAAAGAAAACAAAACCCAGAAAAGATTTCCCTTCTCTCTGGAAGCCTCTCTGTGTTGTGATAATTTTATTTCGGGGCGTTTCTGGATTTTGTGTGTCTCTCATCAGTTAATCCCGTGAGACAAACAGCCTCTCTGAAGAAGGCAAAGGTGAACAACTCTACACCGTTGGAAGAATTAACACGGCCTGGAGAAAGAAATGGGATATGCCGAGGATATCCCGCGTTTGTAGCTAATGCCTTCACATTCCTGAGGATTTTCACTCTCCCATCCATCAGGAGCAAGAAATGCGAGCTGATCTAATTAGCTGCCCATTTTCAGTTCACAGTCTGCTCTGCCAGGGCTGACCTTGGAAGCCTTGTGCAGCCTCGGGTTTGCAGGTGTTGGGCGTTGCGCCTTGGGGGAGGGGTTCCCTTAGGCCGCGGTCAGCCTGGACCCAAAAATATTTGGTTCCAAAACCTCTTCGGTAAACAAACACAGGTTTCTCAAACAAAAGTCGCTCGCTGGGCGACACTAAGCACTTTCGACCTTTGACTACGTACAAATTCAGCAGAGCCTCCCGCAAAGCAGCCCAAGGGCTGCGGCCTGAAAACCCAACGCTGGATATTGTCTCTTAGGATTGGAAACCTCATTGATGGACTTTCTCCTGAATCAGATGCCAGAACGGATTGGGTATAAAGATTTCCCCCTCCCCCAAACGCGAGTGTAGGCCAGGGTCCGAGAACAGACTAGTTGCAGGCTTGTAACCCTTCGTTTCCGGGAAGATTTTCCTTTCCATATTGGAAACTTCTGGAAACTACAAAACCAAGAGACAAAAAAAGCGACCCTGCTACTTGAAGGAGAGCTCCCTCTCTGGGGAACCAGGTACTTGCAATCCTCGGAAGTGAGGGTGGAGAGCGGAGGAGAGGGAGGCGCTGGGCACTGGCCTACTCCAGCTCTTGGCTTGAAGGATAGGAACGTTTCCCCGCACCCGCAGCGGTCCAGTCTAATAGCCTGAGCGGGAGGAGAGGGGCCCCACGCTCCCTGCTTCCCTGTGGAATGACCCAGCACTGCAGAACGGAGCACACGGCACCCCTGCCCAGAGGAGAGCCAGGCCGCTCCCGCTAGCCTGAGTAAAGTGTCTGTGCGCCGAGTTCAGCCCGGTGAGCTCATCCCGTGAGGGCTCGCGTCAGCGGGAGCTGGCTGTACTGCCAGGGTAGGTGGCGGTGCGTGTGGATCGATGGGTGGGTAGAGCTTCTCTCGGGAAGAAACCAGTGATCCAGTCTCTCCTCCACAAATTAGCGGTCTCTCTGGAGCACAGCTGCTTTTTCCGGCCTCCTAATTCCACTCGCCCCCTCTCCGCTTCACCAGGTTGGTTAGGGGAATCCCTTCGCCGAGCTTTTAGTGTCAGATTCCCAGAGCGACTTTGAGTAAGTTTCCTCCAAGAGTGGAGAAAAATCAAATCCTTGAGGCTATCCGGCACCCATTCATCTGCTCCGGCAGCAACTTCCTGGGCAAGCAGTTTGGGACTGATTCCTAGTGACTTATGTATGCACCGAGGTGCCCAAAGAGGGAGCTTTGTGAGGGGTATAGAGATCTGCACTGGCATCCCCTGGCTTGAAGCAAGGCGCTAGGGCTATGCCCTCGCCTTCTAGGGAGGAGGACCTCCGGGCACGCCACAGTCCGGGGCTAGGCAGTCAGAACTAAGGACTTCGACGCTGTTTGGCCCGAGAGCTTTTCCTCCCAGGCAAAAGCCAGTTTCCCCGAAGCCCCGCCCCCCATCTCGTGCCCCGAAGGGCTTACTGGACGCGACAGGAATGAAGTCTCCTCCCCTGTGCCCACCACCCCGGCACACAGAGGAACCGCTAGGCGCGGATTTGTGAATGAACCGCTGAGTTTTCCCCCAGCTCACAGATCAGAGGGTTGTGCTCGCTCTACCGACGTGGTCCAATGAGCGTCTGCAATAAGAGCTTAGCGACAAAGCTGGGGTTACCGCGGGCGGACTTCGCGGTGCTGCGCTGCTCAGGGCGGGACAGCGGAGGGGGCCAGAGCAAAGACTGGAACTTCAAAGCCTGTTGCCAGGGCTCAGTGAAAGGGTGGCCCTCCGGGATGGCACGGTCCGCAATAGCACTGCCCCACCCACCTGAACACTAAAAGGCTATCCAACACGGACCTTGGTGACACAATTTCCGCTGATACCACCCCCTGCCCCCATTGGTGTTCGGGGAAAGTCTTTGAGTTCTCCCGGAGACCCTTGGCAAAGGCTTACAGCCTGGGACTTGATCTGGCTGCTTCCGGAGCGAAGGTCTCCACCCTGAATAGCCACGTCTTTCAAGGCCCTCACTGCCAACTCGTACCTTTTAAAATTAACATCATCGATTGCTTCCTGGTGCCCTCGTACTGGGGGAGGGAACAGGAGGAGCGGACACCCACAACCGCCCTGGCGGGTGCAAGCATCGCCTCCCCACCTCATTCACAGCTGAAATCCCCACCACTCCTTTTCAGAAAGAGGAATCGATCCGGAGATATCGACCTGCACGCTCACAAGGGCTCTCTCTCCCTGACCAGTTGGGTCTCAGTGGCATCTGAGTCTCATACCTGGGAGGAAATTCCTTCCTCGTAGTTATTGCCTCCTGAGCAACCTGATGTGCAGATTTTAAGTTTATATGCTGTTTTCCTAAAGAAACCTGGAGGAGGAGGAGGGCAGGAGAGGGGGCACGATGGAGAGGAGGGTGAGGTCAGAGGTTAGGGGAGATTACGGATCAGCGCCCCTTCTCATCCTCAGTGGCCCAGAGGGTGGGGGGGAATCACTGTAGCAGGAGATTCGGACACCTCGTTAAAAAGCTTTTGTTTGGGGGGAAGGCCTGCCATCCAATGAAGACACAAGATAAAGTCTAAACGACTAAATATCTGGCTGGATGGAATGGGGAAGAGGAACCTAGCCTAAAAGGCATGGACAAAGACACCCATAGGGGCATAACGCTATTTTCTCTCCTTAGACCCATCTGAGCGAGCTCAGTTCCAGCTCCACTAGCAGGGAATAACCGTTCTGTCCAAAGGCGAGCAATCAGGCTTAGTTAGGGCTTTGCTGGGCAGGGAGGCAGAAGGCTCTACCCCGACTCCTCTCATGTTAAATTAGCTCAGTGGGTTGAATTATCCTCACTCAGTTCTCCAGCCACAGGGATGGGTCAGACGCTATGGCAGCCAAGGGAAAGTCAAAGCATGCAACTCTAATGTTTCCTTCTGAACTTCACCACTTCCTGCCAAACCTACTCCCTGCCATCAGCCAAGAAGGAATGGGGTCTTGAACTCCCACCAAGTGATTGCCCACTCACCTCTCTGTAATGAGGCTTCAATGTGGAGCTGTCTCCTGAGACTCCCCCTGGAAGGTCTAGTGGGCTTTGAGTCCGGTTGCCCAGCCCCCGGTGGCTGACCCAGTCTTACTCACCCAGCTGCTCTGGCACACTTTTATCTTAACCTTGGAGGCCTGAGGCTTCACCCCTTGCCCTCCTAGGTCAGCAGCCTGATCTTGCCAATCCTGGGTCACCAAACCATTCCTTAGCTGGGAGTTAGAGGGTGAAGGTGCAGAGTGGGGGTTGTCCTTCATCACAGCTATTCCTAATGCACTAGAACATTCTCCCTCAGGATTCTTGGACACAGACTGGCCTAGAGTCCCTGACAGCTGTCCAACCTTAAGGAACAAGTGTGTTATCTTAATTATTGTCAGGTTCATCATTGAAGGTGAACCTCAGGAGGTGGGGTGTGGCTGGCATGTAGCAGCAGTCCATCAACACCCTCAAACCTTTTGATTTCTTTACACCCTAAAAAGTTAATGAGGATCTAAAGGCACATTTGCTTATTGACAACCTATCTACTGATCATTACTGTCTTAGAAATTGAAATGTTTAAAATACTTTAGTAAATCTATTCATTTTCAGTTGCTATGCGATACACTACATAATATGCTTTGATGAATATTTGTTGAATCCCCCAAATAATAGATCAGTCTCAAGAATGAAGAGTAATGGTTTTATTAATTTTAATCACTTCTTTAAGAGCTGGCTTAACAGAAGATGGTAGGATTCCTATTTCTGCTTGCGCAACTCATTCTTTTGCTACACATGAAGGGAGAAAATCCTAGTGCATATGTAGCTCATAACAAAAGGCGGATTTCACTGGTCAGGTCACATATGAACCTGTGGGGTTAAACTTCAACAAGTGGCAAACAACCTCCTTCTTCATTTTTTTCCTCCTCCCCCTTCTCCTTTCTACTCCCTCACCTCTCCTCTCACCCTCTTTACAGTAAGAGGAGGTGGGATTCATGGCCTTTCACATGCTAGGCAAGTGTTCTACCTCTGGGCCCTCTTTTTACTTTTTATTTTGAGACAGAATCTAATTTACCCAGGTTGGTCTCCATGTGTCATTCTCTTGCCTCAGCTTTCCAAGTAGCTGGAGTGACATGCCTGAGCCCTCAGAGCCTGATGCTGTTGCTTCAGGACTTCCAGGCATCTCTGGCACTCCAGGTGGCTCTTTCCTAGCTTGTGCCAGACTGTGTTGGACACACCAGCACTCCTCTACATGGCCACCGTATTTCTGTACACTACAGCTCCCAGTATGAGAGTTCCAATTCTTCTTCCTTGTTTTCAAGGGCTGTGATTGACAAAATAACAGTCAAGGGCATCTTTCTTTCTTTCTTTTTAAATCAGGGTCATGCTCTATAATCTCGGCTATTCTGTATTGTTCAGGCCAACTTTCAGCTCAGCCTCCATTCTTCTCCCTGTGTCTCCCAAATCTTGAGATCACGAATGTGAGACACCATGTCTGGACTCAATGGAATTCCTATGTCTGTATACAAGTTTGCGTGTGATCTTGTGAAGCCCAGGGGTTGAGGCCAGATGTTTTCCTCTACTGCTCTCTACTTTATTCATTTATTTATTGGAAGAGAGTGTTGACATGTAATGAACCTTCCTGTGTGGTTAACATGTGTCAATATGTAATGAACCTCCCTGTGTGCTTTCAAGCCACCAGGGCACAGGTGCCTTTAATGCCTTTCCTCTGCTCCTCAGCTCTTCTGCTGAAGAGTTTGGCTTTTATGATGACAAACTTTCCTGTCCCTAGACCTTTGCAGTAACCCAGTTGTGCCACATCAATTATGGAAGCAGCTCTATTATCACTGTGGGCTCCATTTCTCCATGTCTGCTACTGACTGATGTCCACAGTTGAACCAGGCTGGCCATTGGGCAGAAGCTCCTGGTTCTTTTTAAGTGGGAATGCCTTGAACCAACTTTCCCAAAGTCACCTGAATGGTATTTTCCTGGCTAGCATGAGAGTAAGACAGACATCGAGTCCTCAGGGGCACAAAGCAGTTAACTATCCAAAATTCTTTAGGGACGGGAAGGGAGACACTTTCTGGTTCCCTGGGTGATTAGAAACTCTGAGGAGGACCCTGGGCAACTGTCTGAACCCAACTTATAAGGAATAGGCACCAAGAGCCGTGTGACTCCTTGCCCCCTGTGATGTGTACAGACTTCTGGGTACAGGCAAGTCAGATGAAGAGGACAGAACAAGGAAGGATTCTTTCTAGAGCAATGGCTCAGAGGGGTGGGAGGTTTCCCACAGGGTGGGGTGTAGGACATGGGGGGACTGGACTGCATCTCCCTGCAGGACGGGTGCTTTCAAAATGAGCCAGTCGTATGGGGGAGATAAACTGGGAGTCATGTTCAGAGCACAGGCTGAAGTGAGATGAAGGAGAAGGTTCCAGGGCGAGATGAAGGCAAAGTTGGAGGAGGAAGGACTGGGAGGTGCTCGGGGGGGGGGGCCCCCCGGGTAATGTGTTTTCTACCTAAGCATAAGGACTTGAGTTCTGATACCTTGCGACCACATAAACACTTGACTGGGTAGGACACGGATTTGTAACCCCATTTCTTAAGACAAGGGAAGGTGGGAACCAGAGAATCTAGGACTTGCGGGTCCGCTAGTTTAGCTCAAACAGTAAGCTTTGGATTCAATGGGAAACCCTGCCTCAAAAACTCAACTAGAGAGCAACTGATGTTGACCCCTGGACTCTGTACAGCCTGGAGAGTACACTAATGTGTACACACACACACACACACACATACACACACACACAGGGGGGTAAGTTTGTTGTGGGATATTGGGTTACACTGAGTGAAGATGTATTGTGATTAGTTTAATAAAAAGCTGCATGGTTAGTAGCTAGGCAGGCGAAGTTAGGCAGGACTTCTGGGCAGAGAGAGGAACTCGGGGTTAGAATCTGGCATGGCAGGAGACACCAGCAAGATGCTGAGGAAGTTAGATGTACAGAATGGAAGAGAGATAAAAAGCCACGTGGTAGAATGTAGATCAATAGAATATGATTAAGTAATAAGGGCTAGTTGGGAACAAGCCTAAACTAAAAGCCAAGCTTTTATAATTAATAATAAGTCTCTGTGTCATTATTTGGGGATTGTGGTTAGAAAAGAAAGTCCAGCTGTAGTGTAGAGGGTACTTGCTGGAGGAGGCCAGGCGGGCTGCCTACCAGTCTCTGTCATTCCCATTCATACTTGCATTACGTTGAGACCAAATGACAGTCAGGTTCACAGCCACTATACTTTTCATACCAGTGAAACTGGTCCCCAGCCTAGAGTGATTCAGGTTGTAGAGGATGTGGTGGTTTGAATAAGAATGACCCTCGTAGGCTCATATATTTGAATATTGCTTGGACCCTAGTTGGTGAACTGTATGAGGATTAGGAGTTGTGGCTTTGCTGGAGGATGTGTGTCACTGCAGGTGGGCTTTGAGGTTTTAAAAGCCCATGCCAGGCCCAGCCTTTCCCTTTCCCTCTCTCTGCCTTCTGCCTGCAGATCAGGATGGAAGCTCTCAGCTCCTGTTCCAGCACCAGTCTGTCTGCCCGCCCCCATGCTCCCTGCCATGGTGATTACGGACCAACCCTCTGAAACTGTAAGCCAGCCTCTAACTAAATATTTCTGCTTATATGCTGCCTCTGTCCTGGTGTTTCATCACAGCAATAGAACAGTAACTGAGACAGAGAGGCTGGGGCAAGGGCGGCACAATTTGTAGAATGCAGAGCAGACTATGGGGAGTGCAGAAGTCACTGTAGGAAGGACAAGAAAGTCCAGCGAGACACGGATGTGGTAGAGTCCAGGAGTTGAGAAAGAATGCGAATTCCCGTGTGGCCAAGCAAGGGAAGAGTTGACGGTCTGTAGGCCACAAAGGAACTACATATGGCCTCACCTCGTACAAAGGAAGTACATGACAGCCAGTGGCCTTGAAGAGTCAGCCAGGGAGGACTTGGCTCTTGAAACTGGGCTAGAGGAATGGAAGAAAAAGGGGTCACATGATCAGGGGAAGGAATCGACTCCAATGGGAGGCCAATGTCATCTAGGAGCTAAACCTCCACGTGTCCTCTGAGCCCTCTGAGCTGGCCCTGCCTCCTCAGCCAGATTTAGCTGCTGCCATCCATGACTCATTCTCCCCGAGAGACCCTGAGAACCTCAAGGAACTGAGTTCTCACTTCTAGCACCAAAGCTATGGAGGCCATGAGGACAGACCTCAGAGTCGGGACAGCATCACTTACCTCTAGGTCACACCCAGAAAGGCTGGTGCTGGCTTTGAGCATGCCTAGTGTCAGTTTTTGGTGTAGAGTCTCTAGTTTCCTCTCAGGCAGAAGCAGCTGGCTATGTCCCCTAGACTGAAGGACCTTACCCGTTCATAATGTCCATCTGATTCCCCATCTATCTGAATCCAACTTTCTGATCTACACTGCTCCCCACCGCTTCACCTTTTAGTGGAAGCTCCAATAAAGTTTCTGTCTGTCTCTCTGCAGGACAGGCTGTATCTCTGCACTCTGGCCCTCACATGTCCTCTCTGCCATACCACAGGTGATCCAGCTACCAGCTGTTCTAATTCAGAGTGCTTATCCAAAGAAAATGAAGTCATTGTCCCAGGGAGACCCTGCCACACCATTCAGAATGACCCAGGTGTGAAACCAGCCTCAGTGCCAGCTGAAGGAGGGATGGATGGAAAAAACGTGGAGTGGACATGGAGTATTAGTATTCAGCCAGAAAGAAGAATGAAACACTGTTATCTGCAGCAAAATGGATGGAACTTGAGAGTGTTGTGTGAGATGAAATGAACCAGACATAGACAGACAAACTTCATACATGTTCTGATGTAGAAGCAAAGAAAAAGCCAACCTGAGCACAGAGAAGTAATGAGGAGAGATTAGGAGGGAAGAAAACTGGGTGCTGGTTTCATTAATGCATGAGGTACACATGTAGAACTGGTACCCCAAATCCCATTAATTTGTGCAATTAAAAATAGATAAAATGTAAAGTAATAGCTGCAGGTGGAGGCAGTAACAAGGCAGGTGAGGAGGCAGGTGGGGAAAGGTGAGAAGGTAGGTGGGGGCAAGTAAGGAGGCAGGAGTGGGGCAGGTGAGAAGGCAGATGGGGCAGGTGAAAATGCAGGTGGGAACAGATGAGGAGACAGGTGGGCAGGTGATAAGGCAGGTGAGGGCAGGTGGGGAGGCAGATGGGGCAGGAACAGGTGAGTAGGCAGGAGTAGGGCAAGTGAGTAGGCAGGTGGGAACAGGTGGGGAGACAGGTGGGGCAGGTGAAAATGCAGGTGGGGACAGATGAGACAGGTGGGAGCAGACGAGAAGGCGGGTGGGGGCAGGTGGTAAGGCAGGTGGGGGCAAGTGAGAATGCAGGTGGGGGCAGATGAGAAG